CGATGTGGTGGGGGGGAGCGTTGCGAAAGGGGCCGACGATTGCAGTCCCTCGAAGATTGGCGCCCTACCCGCGCATTTTGTGCCACGGGCATGGCACGCTCTCTGTAGGGAAGGAAACTACAAGCTCCCTCACAGATCTTTCCTGCTGGCTAATCCCGGGGCTTGCCTTCAGGGCCAGAAACGTCATCGCATGAAAGATTCTAACACATTCACGACGACGCCCCTTTTCCACTTTTCGGTCGCGTGGGACGGACGCGATTTTGTGGGCGCCGCCGCCTCACCTCACATCCGCGGATTTTGTACTGTAAATTGAACAAAAACATGAATGTCACAAAATAATTTCTGCAATGTCCAATGCGTAAAGATTATCTAAACATATAACAGTAGGATTTCGATCAGAACGACAAATAGTGGTTACGAAAAGAGAGCATTTATTCACTTTCCCCGTGAAGGAATTTAAAAGCATTTTACACTCGATTACGAGGTTTGCCCACCTATCTGTCCATTCCTAGCGCCTGGCAAGCGATTATCAGCTGGCAGCCCATATGGGCTGCCATCGTCCCAGGAGCACATGTTGTTGGCAGCCCATATGGGCGGCCATCGTAAATGTGTTAAAGAGTTTCATATACAATTGAAGAAATCCCTTATCATAAAGTAGCCTTAAAACCGATCAATTATAAGAAATGACCTGATAACACTCGAACTGTTTAAGCCTTTGAGTGCTGTAGATACACATACATATGTACCACTTCCGAAATCAAAGGCACTATCATTTTTGGGACATATTCAGACCGGAGTGCCCGCTTGATGGTGGGATCGTGCACGTAGAGAAAGGCTATAATTTTCATCATGATAACAAATCGTCGCAAGTCCACCGAGTTACTCTGAATAAATTAATAGGGCATATTGGCATTATAATTGCTTGATGTGTTTTGTTTGTTCCTTCGTTCATGTTCGACTAACACGAGTTTTGGCTTTGTTGGGCGCACCAAAAGTGCAGTTTAAATAAATAAATAAATAAATAAATAA